AGGGGGCATGGGGCGGAGCAGGCTGGAGAAGGCTGGCATAGGAATGGGATGGTACCTTAACGGGGCCAGGTCACCCCAAGCTCCTTGGAGCATTGGTGACAGAAATGACGAGTTGTGACCACTGCCAAAAGCAGTCATGGGGCCAAGACTGGCAACAGGGCAGAGGGACACAGGCTGGGGACCCCTGGCTGCACAGGCCCATCAGTCATCCTGGGTATCATTCCCATGGGGCAGTACTACCATGGGTCACTCCTGCATCTTCCCAGGGCCCTGGATGTCCTTCCAGAAGGGGGTACCCTTGTGTCCTGGTGAGGAGGGCCAGTCAGCCCCGCCGAGGTCCACAGGCAGCAGTGTGATGGAGAGAAGGGCTGGCCACGTCCCGCAGCATGGGGAGGGTGCCAGGGCAGAGGCAGCATGGAGATGCAGCTTTAATGGCATTTGTTGATGTTTACAACATGAGTCATCCAGCTAAACAGCCATAAATCAGCACCCCAACTCCCGCAGTATCAATCCTGTCCCCTCTTCTGTCCCCCCAGCACTGGATGAGTGCCTGGCTTCTGCAGAAACAACCTCATAAATAACAGCAACAAAACAAACCCTCCTGCCGCCAAGGAGGGCCCATGTGCGCCAGGCGCGAGATGAACGCCTCCAATCCATCACTTTAATGGTTGTACTCTGGAAATTAAACCTGTCACAGCCCATCAAGGTGAACGTTTTAAGTCTGTGACATCCCTTCAGCTCCCCTCCTCCTTCCTGGCACTCTTTTTTTCTTGCTTTCTGCCTCCCCCTTTCCTCTCTGCCCCTGCCATCCCTGTCCCCTCCATCTCACCCCCATCCTGGTGTGCCCAGTTCCAACCTGTCGCCATCTCCATGCTCCCCCACTGCTGGAGGACAAGGTTGTACATCAGGTGGTAGACGTCTTTGGCTCTGAGGGTCCTGCAGCCATGGGCTGGCATTTGCCAGCATCTCCGTGCCTGGTCCTGTGTGCCTGCTGATAGGGGGGCACAGGTCCCCTGGGGCATGGGGTGCCTCCTGCCCCACTGTCCATGCAGGGTAATGGCAGGGAATGGGGTACCATCCTTTCCAACTGCCCCCTCCCCTCCTCCTTTTCCTCCCTGTCTTTTTTCCCCCTTCCCCACATTTATTCTTCTCCTGCTCTGTGTCACATCAACCATCACAGTCTCCCAGTGCCTGGCCCGTGCCCTGGCTCACATCTCCACCCTTGGAGCCAGGGCTGCAGCCTCCCCAAGGCCAGAGCTCCCCCCCGGGCAGTGCCAAGGGTCCGGACACCTCCTGCAGCCGGGCCCTGCCGTACCCTGGGATGGGTTGCCTGGGGACAGGGGACCTGGGCATCGGGGATGCCACACTCTGGGGAAGCTGCTGAGCTGCCGGCAACCACTACGGGTCACTGTCACCCCACACAGGAACGTCTCCGTCCGTCCATCCATCCATCCATCCATCCCCATGCCTCTCTGCTTCCCCTGTTCATCCCTCTGTCCCAAAACCATCACATCTGTCCCCCTGCCCAGGGTGCTGCCCCCTCGGCCCCCGGCAGACCCAGCCGCTGCCAGGTGTTACCCAGCCCTGCGAGGTGTGACAGGCTCCCACCAACACTTACCTGTCCCACCCCTCGCTGACCTGGGACTTCCCGGGGGCTGCTATCCTTAGCAACCCCCACAGCAGGTCCTGGCGGCAGGCAGCCCTCCCTGCCACCCCCAAGCAGGGACAAGGAGAAGAGAGGAGGGGACAGAAAGACATGGGGCAGCAGCAAGACATCATGGGCTGCCTGTGGTCTGGACATCCCAGCCCAGCTTGCCCTGTTTCTGCAGCCCTACGTGTACTCGGGTGCTGAATCAGGGCTACCCCTCCAGGCTGAGGGGGAGTGGAGAAGCTGGGCATTGCTGGCCTGGTCCCTCTGCCTGCATGGCCATAGCAGCAACCCCAAAGGGAGACACAGAAAATGTGCAGAGGGTGTGGGAGGTCTATAAGGTCTGCCAGGATGCTCCAGCATCCCGAGGACGAGGTTAGCCTGCTTACCTGGGGGGGTTAGAGCTTAACCTTAGTGCTTCTAGGGCGGTAGCAGAGGGTGTCTGTTGTTCTCCTGCTACCAGGGGTTGATTTGAGCCCAGCCAAGTTGAGTAGGGCCCCACTAGGGTCATGGAATGAGCCAGAAAGGGGCTGAGTGGAGTTTAGATATTGCCATGGGAAAAAGGGTGCTCATCACAGCATTGAGCCCTCACAAACAGCCTGACCACCACCCTAAACCCAGGAGGGCTCCATCTCCACAGCACTTCAAGGCAATGCGACACCAGTGCAACCAGGCTGACTGCAACGTGGAACACAGCACCGCTGCATTAGCCAGTTCATCAGCTCTGCTTTGCAGGGCAGCTTAATTTTGCCTAGCAAAGCACAGGCCCCACCAGGGATGCAGGATGGAGGTAGGGCAGGCTGGCACACATTCTGGGCATCCTCGTTCCCAGCCCTTCAATCCACCAAAGGGAAGGGCAGGTGGGGTCACGCAGGGATGCGCTGCTCCACGCACTGTCATATCTGCAGGGAAGGAGCAGTGCACAGTCGAAGGAAGGTCCGGGGTCTCTCCCCTCCAGCTGTGTCAGTGGGCTGCCAGCTGTGTGAGTCTGCTGTCACCGACTGGCTCCCCGGGGACCCCAGCAGGGCAGGGTGGTGGCAGGGGGCAGAGCCTCCCATCCCCTAAGGAAGAGCACAGGCATCCGGATAACAGCTTTATAGGGAGGGATGTGGCGACTCGCCCAGATACACACAGAGGAATAATTACGAGTTAAATAGGACCCAAACACACATAAGTTAAAGGGGGGGAGCAGGTGCCCTGCAGCCCCCACTGCTCCACCCGGGCACAGTCTGTGTCTGCCACCAAAAAGACCCCCAAAACCATGGCCCAGCCTCTCTCCCAGGCCAGCTCCATCTGCCTTTCACAACACAGAGCTGATCTTCCTCTCCATGGCACCCATCTCATCCTCCTCCTCTTCTTCTTCCTCCTCACCCCCCAAGCAGGAGGAGTCCGGACCATAGCCCAGCTCGGCAGTGCTGCGGTGCAGGAAGCCCGAGCCGGGGCTGCACCCCATGAACTCAGGGCTTTCGGCAGCTTGTCCCTGGGGCTCACTGGGCAGCAGCTTCTCGCAGGCTTTGCTGAGCCCTCGGTGCTTCTCAGCCTCCACCTGAGCCCCCTGCTCCTTGGCTTTGCGGCTCCGCTTCCACTTCATGCGGCGGTTCTGGAACCAGATCTTCACCTGCCGAGGGAGAGACCCTAGGGAGAGTGTGTCCCCCTTGCCTCATCCTGTCCCCACTCACCCCCTCACCTTCCCTGCCTGGAGGGTGCCCCAAAGCCTCTTTGTTGTGGGGCATCCCGTGGTGCTGCGGGTCTGCGAGGAGGCTGAGGATTTCACGGGGAGAGGAGTACCTGGGGGGCTGATCTCTTCCCCCTGCCCCGCCACTGCAGAAGGGTGTTGGGGACAGGGGGTCCAGCAATCCCCCAGGATGCCCAATGACATGCACAGGAACATTAAAAGAGGAGTTTTAACCCCACAAAAAGCCCCCTCCCACAGTGTGGGAAGAGATGGGAAGGCTCTGAAATCTAAGTTGGGGGTGCTGAGTAAAAATAGGAGCAGTAATTCAGGGGTGCCCTTCTCAAGAGAAGAGCCTGGAGCCCACCAGGCAGGTCTCTGCAGGATATGCCCTGGGAAGGGGTGCTGATGGGGGCAATGAGGTGTGGGACTGGTTAGGGGCATCAGCATTGCCCATGACCTTGACTTCCCACCCCGCAGCACAGTTCCCCACCTCCCTGGCAGCCTCCTGGTGCTCCACCTCCCCCGGGGCCAAAGGTACCTGTGTCTCGGTGAGCATTAGCGATGTGGCCACCTCAAAGCGCTTGGGTCTGGACAGGTACTTGTTGAGCTTGAACTGGTTCTCCAGCTCCAGGAGCTGCTGGCTGGTGAAGGCTGTGCGGGGCCGACGGCACTTCCCCATCAAGGCAGACTGTGGGGTGGCTGTGGGACAGACAGCGAGCAGGGATCAGAGGACAGCGGGGCCACAGGCTGCGGGGGTCATCCCCTCCAAGAGCCCGGGATGAGGAGGAAGGAGACCATCCCTACCAGCATCTCCCGCCCCAATAATAGCTTTATTGCCTAGCTGATAGGAACTAGGGAGATACGTTATCAGGCCTCGATGTGCAACTGGGATCAGTCCTGTGACTGAAATTAAACCTCCTTTTTTATTGCCGGGCCGTGCAGGTGGCTGCCCATCTGCCAGGGCTGCGGCAGCAGGGCTGCCCGTGAGCCCACTATCTCGCCCGCAGCCCTTGAAGGCAGTACGGCGCTGAATCAGGAGGCAGTGGGAACAAAGGGACCTTTGAGAGTCCGGTGCGGGGTGGCTGCAGCGCTGTGTTTGATCCCTGCTTATCTCCTCTCCGCTGGCTTTATTGTCCCCCCGGGGTTCAGCTTTTACTGCTTCTCCCAGCACCGCAGGGGCAATCAAACCCCAGAGGTTTTCAGCTTTGAGTAAAGCGCTGGGGGGCGGGGGGGGCATTAATGGGAAACGTCCTTGGCCCATCCCCACTGCCTCTTCTTGGAGGGCAAGATGCAGCATCGTGGCCCCCAAGACATGCCCTGCTTGGCAAGGGTCGCTCTGGCTTGCCCGCGTTGCAGGGCATGGGGATCATCCACGTTATCTCCCTGAGGTTCCAGCTTTGACCCCACCTGCCCAACTCCTGAGGTGTCCACTGAGCCCTCCACAAACACTGCAGCATGAGGCAGGAATTTATTAAGGAGGCATCATGATCCAAGTTTGATCCCAACCACCTGGATGCTGTGTGGGACAGGTGAAACAGGCACTGCTGGGCTGGGGGCTCTGCAAACCCCTCGTGGGAGCGGGGATGGACACAACCCCTCCTGTGCCTGCAGCCCCACAGTGCCAGGAGGGACAGCCCACGGGACCCAGCCTGCCAGTTCAACCAGGGGCTGAATAGAGCCGGTGGCCGACACAGACGGTGCGTTATTTTGCTCACAAAACATCAAAGCTAAAACCAAATGAGAGGCCCAAAGGATTGCCAGGACACATAGGAATTTCAGATTAACAATGTTTCGACTTTATTCTGTTTCTCACTACGTTAAGTATTTTGGACAACGCTCCTTTTTTTTTTTTGGATGATGTTCCTAGGTATTAAGCTGCCCTGATGATACTCTGTCTCCCACTGTGTCAGCCTGTTTTGACGACACCCTGGTTTTCGATGTGTTTCTTTGCGCACGTTGCTGAGAAGGGTTTGATAACAAGAGATGGGCACTCTTGCTTATGAAAAGCAGGAGGGTACATGCCCATCAGTGTCATGCTCAGCAGGGTCCTTGTAAACTGAGAAGTGTTTCTGTAGATTAGTAGATGTTTAAGGAATTTTGTCCTTTTTGTGAACTTTACTATAATACTAAAACTCACGTTCATAGGTCAAGAAGACCCTTGCCCAGGTGGAGACACTTCCCCTGAGCGTGTGTAATAGTGGAAGCAATGTGTTAGCAATATGATAATTGTATAACCAATCGTTGTAAAAGGGGGTAACTGGAAAATTACTAAACCTGAAAGTTTTGTGTATAAATATAGCACAAAGAACTCTGTTTCGTGTGCATGCTAGGATGAGAGATCCCCATGCAGCCGGTGCTGCAATAAACCAATGTCAGCTGCCTAAACTATAATTTGGTTTAGAGAGTTTTCTTCGTTACTTTTCAATAACATTGAAAGTTATTGCTCCCCTGGGCATGCCTTTGGAATCCCCATTGTCCCTGGAGCACTAAGAGTTATGGCTCTCTGCACCCTGACCCTAAAACTAATCCTAATAGCTTTAGACTGAGGCGGAGGTCCCCGTCACCGTGGGTGACACAGATGGGAAAGCTGTGGAGGGAGCAATGTTGATGCAGTGCCGTGGTCCTCTTGGCATACCACTGGAGTCCCCATTGTCCCTGGAGCTCTAGGTTCTGTGTCTCTCGGAACGCTAACCCTAATAGCTTTGAAGGGAGACTGAGGTCCTCAGCACCATGGGTATTCCAGCTGGGAAAGCCGTAGAGGGAGCAATGTCGGTGTAGTGCCACGCTCCCCTTCGCATACCAGAGAAATCCACCTTGTCCCTGGATCTCCAGGCTCTGTGGCTCTCTGAACCCTAATAGCTTTGGCCTAAGGCTGAGGTCCCCAGCACCACGGGTGTGCCCGCTGGGGAAACTGTGGAGTGAGCGATGTCGGTGCAGTGCCGTGCTCGTCCCTCTGCCAGACCTCCACTCACCTCTAGCACAGTTCGGGTCACGCTCCCAGGTGTGCCAGTGGCAGTCCCCGTTAGGACAGCAGCCCGAACTTGGTTCTCGTGCCACCCGTGCCCCGCACGACCCTCCCCACCCGTGCCCCAGCGCTGCAGTGCCCGATCCGGTGCCTCCCGCACCCCCGGCTGTGCCCACCCTGCAAGGGGCTGTGCAGGGAGCCAGCAGTCTCCTCGCAGGCCAGGAGGGCCCGG